ATTAGCAGATGATACCGACCTTTACTAAACTGCGTAGATGTCTTGACAGTTTTTATTTCAGTTAAAGAAAATTATATTTGGCTAGTTTTTCATCCGTACTTATTACTTTTAATGCATTTACTTAAAACAAAATAACCCTTAAAATGGTCCCTCACAGTGGATTAAAATTTCTAGAAGATTAGCTTAAGTTTTGTTCCGTATTTGGTCCATGGTTTTGAGTTTGGCCTTGGAATTTAGTTTGGTTGAAACTTTCAAACAAATATCTATTTTTACCAGAAATTACCAGGCTTCATGTTTTTCGCGAACATCCGTCTCACAGTTCCAATCCGTCGGCAACGAGGAACAAACATGTTCATCGACAGGAAATGTCACGATAGTTTTTAATTTCGTACTTAAATGGAACGTCGTTTAAATGTGATCTTGGGAAGAAAGTAGTACAGAAAGCAAGAGGTAATAGACCGATGCCACGAGAAGAAAGAAGATGGTTCACGGCGCAAAAACCATCATGAAAGAAACTATTTGTGAGGGGTTTAAATATAGCCCATCCATCTTGGAAATGAAAGATTTACGATCGACGTACATCGTCAATTGTGTTTTCAACAATTTATTAACCTATACCGCCATCATGTTGAACAGTTTGACAATCTACGCGGTGCGAAAAACGACGTCACTACCCAAGACGTTGAGAACATTGCTGCTGAGTCTTGCTGTTTCCGACATTGGTGTTGGTTTCATTGTTCAACCATTTTACACGTCATTCCTTGTCAAGTGGTTACAACTGAACGATCCAAAATGCAGCACATACAAGGCCTTCGTGGGAATTGGTCTTATATTTTCGCAAGCTTCGTTCCTGAATATTATCGCTGTGAGTGTAGAAAGGTTCTTAGCTGTTCACTTGCATCTCAGATATCAGGAACTTGTAACACATAAGCGTGTTGTTGTTGTAGTGATCGCAACATGGGTGTTAAGTGTATCTAATTCTTTATTAGCCTTTTGGAATCTACAAGAAGTTTACTGGTTAATCTTTTCGATTATGGGGGTTACGTGCCTTATTCTTACAACTATATTGTTTACACCAGGATTAATTTCATTGCACAGCGGCACAAGAATCAGATACAATCCTTACAAATGCATCAAGTGGAACAAACTGTTGAAATGGCTCGTTGTAAAAAACTAGTTCATTCGGCTGTCAGTTTCTTCTATGTATACATCTTGTTACTAGCTTGTTATTTGCCCTTCTTAATCTGCTTAAGGATTGAACATCCAAGTGTCGCCATAAAGAGATTTTGGGTAGTATCGTTGACGCTACTGTTTCTCAACTCATCCCTGAACCCTTTAATTTACTGCTGGAGGATGAGAAACATGAGGCACTCAATCATGAACGCGCTGCGGAACATGTCTCGGAACCAAAATCGCATTTCACATTCATAATTGGTGTGATTTTGCTTCGTCAAGAATCCTTAAATCCCATGTCATCGATTTTAATTGTTGCTAACTTTTATTCCTCGAGTGCAAAAAAAAACCTACGAGTTGCCATGAGTTGACACTACCAGGACATTCCCAACCCAGAAGATGACTTTGTACGTTATAGTGACAAAGGCTCATAAATAGTCTACATCTACGTCGCTCTACAGTCAAACCGTGTTCCCCCAACTGAGAGGTAGCTGGGGTAGTCACACAGTCAGATGCGAACAACTTTTTAAGACATCGAAGACGCAATTTAAGATGAAGTTGAACGCATATATTTGAGTCAGACAATGAAAAATGAGACTGAACCAACTCTTCGCAAAACAATTCGTTCCAGATGATCAACTAGAAGCTTGGAACAAAAACAACGATTCACGATTATAATTCAGGCCATCTTCTGAACTCTTAGAGCAACTACTCTGTTATCTCCCTAAGGTAACGGAAGATTTCACTTGAACGAGATCAGTGAACTATTTGCCAGGCAATATCTCGCTTCTTTTTGGGTTT